CCATTTGACATGCGTGCAAAGGGTTTTAGGGGCTCTGTGCCAGAATTGGAAATGAAAATCAAACATATATTTCTTATTATAAATTACTAGAGGCCCGGTGCACGAAATTCGTGCATTTGGGGGGGGCCCTCAGCCCACAGCCTGCACCCTCTCCAATCCGGGCCCTCAGGGGATGTCCGACTGTGCCGGTTTAGCCCCGATCCCTCAATCCGGGACTGCTGACTCCTAACTGCTCGCCTGCCTGATCACCCCTAACCATCTCTGCCTGCCTGCCTGATTGCCCTTAACTGCCTCTGCAGGCCTGATCGCCCCCAACTGCCCTCCCCTGCCGGCCTGATTGCTCCCTAACTGCTTGCTCCCTCACCAACCTGATCGCCCCTAACCCCCATGCAGCCTGCTGTTCAGTCGTTTGGTCGTCCCTCCCTAACCCCCCTGCCGGCCTGGTCGTAGGCAGCCATCTTGTGAGGGCATGAGGGTTAATTTACATATCACCTCTTTATTATATAGGATAATGTCACAGGGGACCACGGGCTTGAAATCCAAGCTTTGATTCTAACAAGTTCAATGATAAGATGCGAGGAGCAGGCAGGTTGTGGGAGGGTTGAGGAGGTAGGAGACCCTGGTCAGGCCTCTTGGAAGCAAAAGGGACCAAGACTCCAGGAGTTCAGGAGAGAGATTTCAGGGACAGGGAGCGAGCGGGCAGTTGAGGTCATCCTGGGAGCTGAATGGAAGTCTCAGCAGAATAAAGGGAACTTGGCCCCGGCTGGTCTGGCTCAGTGGACAGAGCGTCAGCCTGCAAACTGAAGGGTCTGGGTTCAATTCCGGTCAAGGGCACATGCCCGGGTTGCGGGCTCGATCCCCAGTGGTGGGTGTGCAGGAGGCAGCCGATCAATGGTTCTCCCTCATCATTGATGCTTCTGTCTCTCTCTTCTCCCTTCCTCTCTGAAATCAATAAAAATATTTTTAAATATTTTTTTAAAAAAGAAAGAAGTAAAGGAAACTTGGCCCTGAATAAGGTCAGTCTCCTGAGGGTCTGAACCAGGGGACGGCGTGGATGGTGGGGACACCGCACAGACAGGGTGGGGGCTGGGAACACGTCTCAGACCTGTTGGTGGTGAAACACCACCAGGTGTTAGACTGGGGGAGTCAGACTGGACCTGCTGCTTGAGTTCTGGGTGGGAACGAATTCAGAGCCCTGGCCGGTGTGGCTCAGATGGCTGGGCATCACCCCGTGCAATGAAAGGTTGCGGGTTTGATTCCTGGGCAGGGCACATGCCTGGGCTGTGGGCTCCATCCCCCGTAGGGGGCGTGCTGAAATCAGCTGACAGATGTTTAGCTCGCAGATCTATGGGGACAGGCGGTGAGCTTGGTCTGGGTCATTCAGGAAGCTGTTGGAGGCACAGGCCTGGAGCCAGGGAGAGGCCCAAGAACCAACCTGTTCCGGCGACAGGTGGCAGGTGAGACTGTCAGGTATATGCAGGCTTAGGACCAAGGCCTGGGAACACCCTTGTTTGTCCAGACACCTGTGAAGGAAAAAGGGCCTATTCATGCAGGAGGACAGGAAGGAGAGCCAACAGAGGAGGAGGAAAACCAGGAACGTGCGGCATCCGGAAGCCGGGAGGGGAGCAGCTGGCCCAGGGAATGCCGTGGAAAATCTGAGTGAGGAGGACAGGCCGGTGACTGCAGGGTTGCTCAACATGGAAGTCTGTGGAAACCCAGAGAGAGTGTGGCTGCAGGGGACTCGCGGTGAGTAGACCTCCATGGAGGAGGTTTGCTGGGAAGGATGGTAGGAAGAGCTTAGTTCTGATTCACTCTGTGGTCCCAGCATCACCCAGCAGAGAGTATCGGGCAGGTCGGCATCTCAGATTGTTTGTTGAGTGACTGACTGAATAAATGAATGAGCAGAGAATCGAGAGAGAGAGGTGGAAAGATAGACAAAAGTTGTAGCATCAAGCCATGACCAGTTTGGCTCAGTGGATAGAGCGTCGGCCTGCGGACTGAAGGTTCCCGGGTTCGGTTCTGGTCAAGGGCATGTACCTTGGTTGCAGGCACATCCCCAGGAGGGGGTGTGCAGGAGGCAGCTGATCGATGTTTCTCTCTCATTGATGTTTCTAAGTCTATCCCTCTCCCTTCCTCTTTGTAAAAAATCAATAAATATATATATATATATATTTTTTTTAAGTTGCAGCTGATATTTCTTCACATTAAGGAAAAAAAACATTCTGTCATCGAAGTCAGCTCTGCACATTTTTACAATAAAGAAATTAACTTTCTCTGACTTATTTCACGTAGCATCATACCCTCCAGGTCCATCCATGTTGTCACAAATGATGTCTTCATCCTTTTTCATGGCCAATTAATATTCCCCAATTGTGTAACTGTCTCCTGTCTTCTTTATCTAGTCACCTACTGATGGACAATTAACTGTAATTGAAAAATTAAAATTGAAAAAATTAAAATGCAAATTAGAGAGAGAGAGAGAGAGAGAGAGAGAGAGATGGCTATTATTTGTAAAAGAGAGCAGGAAGACTAAGATACAGATCTTAACTTCAAGGAGCTTCCATCGGATCTGGATCTGTGCTGTTCAGTACGGTACCTGTGGCTGCTGCGCATCTGACAGGTGACTAGTCCCAACTGAATTGTGCAATTTAGTCGACACAATAATTTATTTCATTCGCCAATTAGGGCGAGTCGTGTCATCTCCCCGGAGTCTGTTTCCCTTAACCACCACGCAGGACCATCTGTTGGCGCTGAAACCACACCAGGTGTCAGACCGGGAGGGCCAGACCCGGCCTCCTCCGTTCAGCAGCCTCGGTACTGGAGTTCTGGCTGGGAACGAATTCAGAGCCCTGGCCGGCGTGGCTCAGTTGGTTGGACATCGTCCTGTGCAATGAAAAGTTGCCGGTTTGATTCCCGGTCAGGGTACAGGCATGCCTGGATTGTGGGCTCCATCCCCAGTGGGGGACCTGCAGGAGGCAGCACATCGATATTTCTATCTCTCTCTCCCTCTCCCTCCCTCCCTCTCTGAAATCAATAAAGATATATTTAAAACAACTCTATTTTAAAAAATATAGATATTTTCTTGATTTTTTGCAGAGAGGAAGGGAGCGGGATAGAGAGTTAGAAACATCGATGAGAGAGAAACATCCATCAGCTGCCTCCTGCACACCCACTACTGGGGATGTGCCCACAACCAAGGTACATGCCCTTGACCGGAATCGAACCTGGGACCCCTCAGTCCGCAGGCCGACGCTCTACCCACTGAGCCAAACCGGTCAGGGCAAAAACAACCCTATTTAAGAAGCTATTCTCTTTCTTTGAAATCTGCAGGAGCGGCCACACATTGGTCTATTCCCACAAGGACTCACCCAGGCAGGCAGCCATTTGTTTATGCATATATTTGGATAAGGATTGGCGATGTGTTCGAGAGAGACTGCCTGGGTTCGAACTCCGGTTCTGCCCCTGACCAGCTGTGTGTGTGTGTGTGTGTGTGTGTGTGTGTGTGTGTGTGTGTGTGTGTGTCTTCATCGAGTTGTGGCTCAGTTTCCACGTCCTTGGCCAGGTGTCGGGGTGGCTGAGTTCTCTCTGGGCCATGATGAGTGGGAGGCATGGGGTTCTTGAGAGCCCTGAGGGCTTCCTGGGGGAGTTGGCAACGGTGCTCACAGCTGCAGGCCAGTCCCTGTTCCCCGAGCCTCCAGCTGCAAGAAGTGGGAGTGGCTGTAGCCAGAGTCTGTGTGTCAAACAGAACCACTGAGCAATCACTCCTCCTCCCCACTCCCCTCAGCCCTAGGCAGCCACGGATCTGGTTCCTGTCCCTATGGGTTTGCCCATTTTGGATATTTCATATAAAGGAGGTCCTACAGCCCTAGCCGGTTTGGCTCAGTGGATAGAGCGTCGGCCTGCGGACTGAAGGCTCCTGGGTTCTATTCCCGCCAAGGGCACATGCCCAGGTTGTAGGCTCAATCCCCAGTAGGGGGCCTGCAGGAGGCAGTCGATCCATGATTCTCTCATCATTGATGTTTCTCTCTCTTTCTCTTCCTCTCTCTTCCTCTCTGAAATCAATAAAAATATATTTAAAAAGAATCTCTAGGGTCAGGCTCAGGAGCCTGAATTAAAAATTTTGTTTTTTTTCAGTTAGAGCCCTGACTGGTAGCTTAGCCCTGGTCGGCAAACTGCGGCCCGCGAGCCACATGCGGCTCTTTGGCCCCTTGAGTGTGGCTCTTCCTAAGCCTTAGGAGTACCCTAATGAAGTTAATAACAATGTACCTACCTATATAGTTTAAGTTGAAAAAATTTGGCTCTCAAAAGAAATTTCAATCGTTGTACTGTTGATATTTGGCTCTGTTGGCTAATGAGTTTGCCGACCATTGGGTTAGAGCATCGTCCTGATACCAAAGTTGCCGGCTAGATCCCTGGTCAGGGCACATAGAATCAACCAATGAATGCCTGAATGCGTGGAACAACAGATCTCTCTCTCTCTCTCTCTCTCTCTCTCTCTCTCTCTCTCTCGTAAATAAAAAGATAGAATCAGACTTCCACAGAACCCTGGGTGGAAACCCTCTCCTGTCCCTTCCGTCACCTCTTGTGAAATCGCTTCCTTCCCCTCCCCCTCTCTTTCCCAGCTTCTCTCTGCCTCGGTCCTCCTGCCTCTGGCGTCCACCCTCCTGCCCTTTCCCTGCACTGTGTGGGGAGGGACCCTCCCTGAGCCTTCGTCACGGGGTGGGGGGTTGGGATTAGAACCCAGCTTCCAGATCACCTGGAGCCGTCAGCTGGAAGGGCTGGGTGGGCTGCCGGCTGGCTCGGAGAAGAGGGGAGAAGGCGCGGGGTGGGGTCTGTCCCCCAGAGCCTGCCTGAGCCTGTCTCCTGCTCCCCTTCCTCCATGTAGCCCTGAAACTCAATTACATGCCATTAGAGTGAGGAAGCGTTTGTTAGGGGATTAGAGGGCGCCCCACCCCGTGCCTTCCTGGTCCCCTTCCTTCAACCAGGAAATGGAATGGGCTGGAACAAAGAGAGTTAAAAGCTGTGTCAGCTGCCAGTCTGGGGCAGACGGACAGACGGAAGGAGGGGGACTGGCGGGGTGGCATGACAGGTGGCTGAGAAGCCAGGTGGACGGGGGAGCACTGACTGGCCAGCAGGTCGGCTGACAGACAGGTAACAGAGACACAGGCGGCTGAGCCGGCCACAGCCACATGGAGGGCCCGGCAGGCAGAGGGACCAGGTGAGGAGGGGCCGGCAGCCACAGGTGAGGGGGACAGGGGGAGGCGGGGAGAGAGGAAGGGGGCATCCCCCGTGCATGGAGCTGACATGGGAAGGATGAGGGAGGAAGTGGGGGGGAGGACATGGACAGGGCCATTTCTGAGAATCTCCCCCTTCTCCCCAGAACCTGGAGGTGGCCAGCCATGGGGCCCAGCTTCCTTGTGCTCCTGTGTGTTATTGGTGAGTCCCTCCCGCCCCCACGAGGGGACCCCGTCTCTCCTTCTCAGCTCTGGCCTCCATTCATCTCCAGCTCCCAGGGTCCTCTCACCTCTCCTGCACCTTTTCATCCACCTCCCCTCTGTCTCTTCCTACCACAGTCTCAGTTCTCTATCTATCTATCTATCTATTATCTATCATCTATCATCTATCTACCTACCTATCTAATCTATCATCTATCTATCTATCTATCTATCTATCTATCTATCTACCTACCTACCTACCTACCTACCTATCTAATATTTCTATTATCTATCTATCTATCTATCTATCTATCTATCTATCTATCTATCTACCTACCCACCTATCTAATATTTCTATTATCTATCTATCTATCTATCATCTCTCTCTCTCTCTCTCTCTCTCTCTCTCTCTGCAAAAAAAAAAAAAATACAAAAATATGAAAAGGAGGTGGTATGGACTCACCTTTGCAAAAAAAAGGAACTACAGGAGTTATGATGCCTAGAGAGTGAGATAAAGGACTCATTAATTTAAACCAGTGGTTCCCAAACTTATTTGGCCTACCGCCCCCTTTCCAGAAAAATATTACTCAGCCCCTGGAAATTAATTTTTTTTAAATTTTAATAGCAGTTACTCATCGCCCCCAAATGCACCTGTGGCCATCACCGCCCCCCTGGATCGCTGCAGCGCCCACCGGGGGGCGGTATGGCCCACTTTGGGAATCACTGATCTAACCTATCATTTATCTATCATCTATCTATCAGCATCTCTCTCTGTTTACCTCTTCCTCTCTCTCTCTCTCTATCTCTTGGGTGTAGCACTGTCTCTTGCTATACATCCTTAGGTGTCTCTCTGTGCCTGGCTCTGTCTTCCTCTCGCCTCGGTCTCATTCTGTGTCTCAGCATCTTCGTGTCTCTCTCTTCCTGTCTCTGACCCACAACCCATGCAGGTCTCTGACCCCCTCTCCCTGGCCCGTTCCTCTGTCCTCAGGGCTCAGCCACGGGGCCTCAGAGAAGATTTATAACGGCACGGAGTGTGACCCTCACTCGCAGCCGTGGCAGGTGGGGCTGTTTGAAGGTGTCAACCTGCGCTGTGGGGGGGTCCTCATTGACCGGAGGTGGGTCCTCACAGCTGCTCACTGCAGCGGCAGGTAAGCACACACCCCCGTTCTGGCTCCCTTCCTGGAGTGGGCCGAGGAGGGTGATGGGGAGGGAGTGTCAAGGAGAAAGGAGATGGTCCTGCCACAAGAGACTCTGAGGTTAGACGACTAGGACTTTTTATTTTATTATTTTTTTTAATATGTTATTATTGATCTCAGAGAGGAAGGGAAAGGGAGAGAGAGATAGAAATATCAATGATGAGAGGGAATCATCATTGACTGGCTGCCTCCTGCATGCCCCCTACTGGGGATCGAGCTTGCAACCTGACCAGAATCGAACCCAGGACCCTTCAGTCCGCAGGCCGACGCTCTATCCACTGAGCCACACCAGCCAGGGCCAGGAGTAGGATTTTTTAAACCATGGGCCTGGGTGGGGCTGGCTGGGGTGCAGTGGGGTGGGGGGCGGAGGAGGGGCCTGGAACCTGCCCACCCACCTCCTCTCGTTCCTTCGAGTCCCCCTCCCTCCCTAGATGGCGTCTGTCACCAGCCCCAGCCATTCCCCGACCCAGGCTGGGCCCTGGGCCCACATCTGACCCACGCTCTCTGTGCAGCCTCAGTGATCCCATCTGTAAAATGGCAGGATTGGGCTTCCTGGGTCTGACCCTCTGTGTTTTACGCGAAAGGGAAGTTTCAGACACACAGAGATGGAGAGATGTGGGGACAGGGAGAGGCACACGGTGCAGGACAGAGAGCGGTCACACGGTGGGCCGCGTGGGCAGTCCAGGCAGTCTCCTAGGAGGTGGGGTCAGAGCCGGGAAGAAGACCGACAGCTGTCCCTTCCCCCGTGTGCCTCACCAGCTAAGAGAATCAGATGGGGACACAGATGCAGGGACATGGGTGGGAGTGGGGACTGGGGTGATGGAGATAGAGACCAAGAGGCTGAGAGACAGCACCTTAGAGAACAAGGGCAAATGAATGAGGGACCAAGATGATGACATGAGGGCCTGGGAGTCTGGGGGCAGCCCACCTGCTGAGCCAACATAACCCCTAGCAGGTACTGGGTGCGCCTGGGGGAACACAGCCTCAGCCGCCTGGACTGGACGGAACAGATCCGGCGCAGCGGCTTCTCCGTGACCCACCCCAGCTATGAGGGAGCCCGGAGGAGCCACGAGCACGACCTGCGGCTTCTGAGGCTGGGCACCCCCGCCCGCCTGACCCGCAGTGTCCAGCCCCTGGCCCTGCCCACCACCTGTGCAGCAGCTGGCACGGAATGCCACATCTCCGGCTGGGGCACCACCAACCGACCATGGAGTAAGCGGGCCCTGGGGTCAGGGGTCAAAATGGGCAAAAGTCTGGGTATAGGGTGAGAGGTCACAAGTCACACCATCTCAGGGGAAGGAGGGTTAAAGGGTCAAACATCAGGGTTATAGTCTGGGGTTGGAGATCGTGGTGGATCAGGCCTTGAGTGTCAAAGTGGTTAAGGGGCTGGGCATGGAGTCAGAAATCCTGGGTCAGGGAGGATGTGGTTAGAGGTCAGAGTGCTGTCGGGGATCATTGGACTGGAGCAAAAGGCATATATATAAACTAGAGGCCCAGTGCACGAATTCATGCACCAGTGGGGTCCCTCGGCCTGGCCTGTGGGATCAGGCTGAAACTGGCACCCCGGCATCCCCCGAGGAGTCCTGGATTGCGAGAGGGTGCAGGCCAGGCCGAGGAACCCCACCGGTGCACAATCAGGGCTGGGGAGGGACACAGGAGGTTGGCCAGCCAGGGAGGGACCACAGGAGGGCTCCAGGGCGTGTCTGGCCCTGGATCAGCCAGACCCCAGCAGCAAGCTAACCTACTGGTCAGAGCGTCTGCCCCCTGGTGGTCAGTGCACATCATAGCGAGTGGTTGAGCGGCCTTAGCCTATCATTAGCATATTACGCTTCGATTGGTTGAATGGCCGGCCAGACAACCAGACACTTAGCATATTAGGCTTTTATTATATAGGATAGGACAGGGGTTGGTCAACGTCATTGAAGAGTTGAGGCCATGGGACCCACATGTTACAGCAGCTGGCCACAGTCTCAGGATGGAGATTAGGGGTCATGGATCTGGGATTGGAAGCCATAGAGTTTCGAGTGTGGAGGCAGAGGCTAGGGGTCATGGAGTCAGGGTTCAAATAACCTAGGGTCAGAGGTCACCTTGGAATAGAGACCAGTGATTTAGAGGAAGCAGAACTGAAGTTGGAGCGTAAGGTGAAGACAAGGAATACGGGGTCAGGAGACAGAAGACGTGAGGTCCAGTTGGGATCAAAGGATGATAAGACTGAAGGTCGAAGGTCACACAGTAGCTGAAACAAAAGGAGGAGGTCAGGTCCGGATTCATCTATCTATCTATCTATCATCTATCTGTCTGTCTGTCTATCTATCTATCTATCTATCTATCTAATCTATCTATCTGGGGACCAGGAGGCCAGGAGGTATCATCTATCTATCTATCTATCTAATCTATCTATCTGAGGTTGGAGGGACCAGGAGGGTATAGAGTTATGACACTCAAAGTTAGAGGTTAAAGGTCCGGGAACTGGGCCAATGGGCTGGGGTCAAGGGTCATGATGGCATCAAGTCATACATCTAAAGTCTGGAGGTTTGAGGATTATAGTGGAGGTCACAGGGAGGGGACGGGGCATAGTTTTGGGCCGAGCTTCCTTGAGAGGAGGGAAGTGGGGGGCTCTGGGGGAACCGCCAGCACCCACCTTCCACCCCCAGGCCCATTCCCAGACAAGCTGCAGTGCCTCAACATCGCCATCGTCTCCAGCGCCACCTGCCGAGCCGTGTACCCTGGGAGAATCACGGACAACATGTTGTGTGCGGGCGGCAACATGGGGAAGGATGCCTGCCAGGTGAGCAGGTGCAGGCGATGCCTGGCCACCGGGGACAGGGAGCAGGGGGCGGAGGGTGAGTCAGGGAAAGAGGGTAGGGGAGAAAGATGAGGTCCGAAAGAAGGGGAGGGACAGCCCAGGGGAGGGGGACAGAACAGGAGGAAGAGCCAGGGAGTGGAGGACAGAGAGAGGGAGGGTGGGCAGAGAGAAGAGAGGGAGATGGGGGAGAGTAAAGGAGCAGCCCGTATGTGGGGCGCTCCGGTAGGTAAGCTACTCCCTCTCCAGTTCTGAGTCTTCCCCACACCGTCCTCCTCTGATTGATACTGGCTCAGGTGAGAGATTCCAGGATGGAGGCAGGAAAGGAGGTCGGGGCGCTCTCAGCCTCCCATTCTGCTTACCTTGCCCTCTTGGGGCCTCCAGAGAGGAGGCCTGCCCCACCCTACTGGCCGGGGGCCCTAGCCTACTGCCCTTCAGAGACCTCTTTATGGAGTCCCGCCCTCCTTTGCTGCGATTGGTTGTTGGTGCCCACGCTCTCTTCCCTCATTGGTCAGGGCCCCTGCCATTGTTCTTGAGGGAACTCTCTACCCTTTGTGGAGACCCGCCCACCTTCCCTGTGTCTGGCCCTGAGAACAGCGTGTTCTTCTCTATTGTTCAGTGATTGCTGTTGTCCTTGGGGCACTTGGCTGGGCTCTTTTTCTGTCGACCAGGTTGGGAGCCACTGTCCTCAAGGCCCAGACCTGGGCTGGGGAGAGGACAACTGCAACAGGATTGCACCCCTATTCATGCCTCCCTCCTTTCCCCCCTTTTCCTTCCAGGGCGACTCTGGTGGCCCGCTGGTGTGCGGAGGAGTCCTTCAGGGCCTGGTGTCCTGGGGGTCCGTGGGGCCTTGTGGCCAAGAAGGCATGCCGGGAGTCTACACCAACATCTGCAAATACGTGGACTGGATCCTGGGGGTCATCAAGAACAACTGACTGGCTCCTTCTACCTCCACCCTTGCCCGGCTTGGGGTCCACTCTGACCCCCGGAGCGCCGACACCTCCTCCATCGTCAACCCCAGCTCTCACTCTTCTTGGTCTGGGAAATCCCCTTCCCCAGAACTCCAGCTCCAGCCGGCCCCCTCCTAAGGCCCACGGTTCAGGGAGGAGGGCCTGTGGGGCCATTTGGAATAAATATAACTCGCCAAGGGGTGGAGTCTGTCTGTCTGTCTGTCTGTCTGGCATCCCCGTGCTGGTTGAGGACGGAGGGAGGGCTCATTCGTTCCCCTCCTCACGGGTGTAGAACTAGAGATCTCAGATGGGGAGGGATTTCCCACAGGAACAGACTAGAAAAAGTTACTTATAACAAGAAAAACAAAGGACCGTTTTCCTCCATCGGACACAACAGGAACAGGAACCAAGCGCTTGTAAGCTTTTCCAGGGCCCATACGCCTAAGGACCTGAAGGAGGGGGGACAAACAACACACGGGTTGCAAAATACCACGCGACAACTGCGAAGCCAAAATTGGTGACCATTGAACGAAATGCCCAATACGTGTAACATTCCCGCCAACCAGCCCATGGCAACTGGCTTCTGCTGGGGTCGAGCACACGTTACATTATTTAACGACTGGACGTGGCACGTGGGTTTGTTTTCGCGCTGGCGACGAGGACGGAGGGTGGAGCGCAGCCGCGGAAGGCCCGAGGACCCAGCCCATGTCTTCGAATCGTCCTGCCCAGCCCCTTGGGGTCTGTCCTCCCTGCCTCTCCAGGAGGTGCAGAGAGAACTTGTCCGCGGTGCCTGGAAGAGGAATTTGAGGTGTGAGCATGACAGCCGTGGGAACATGGGCTGAGAACCGTCTGTCCTTGGCTCTCTTCAAGTCCTCATCCAACCCCCTAAGGCAGGGCTGTCCCCCTCCCCCTCCGCACACAGACACACACACACACACACACACACCCCTCCAGGTCACAGATGAAGAAACTGAGCCTCGCTGGGGTGGAGTCCCCCGTCCCACGTCACCGCGGCAGCAAGAGGCAGCACCGAGGTCTGGGGCCAGGGCTGGCGGCGGGCAGAACCCAGGCCCTACCTGGCGATCCTGCTCTACATCTGGTTAGAGGAGAGAGGAGGCAAGACAGGAAGCAGATCGACCGGATAACGAGCCCGAAGACGCAGAGATTGCCACTAGACTTTGCAGACCAGGAAACCGAGGTGGCTCAGGTCTGGGAAGGCATCGGACCCGGGTCACACAGCCAGTAAGTGCCACAGCTGGATGCCAAGGCCCCTAGGGGGTTCCCGACAGACTCGGGGTGGAGAGAGGGGGGGGGGGTTAGAGAGAAGGGTGGGCAGAGGAGCCCTCATTTCCTATTCCCCAGCCTTGACTCCCACAGGCCCCGACCTGCCTCCCCCACCCTCCTGTCCTGCCCCTGCGCCTGGCAACAGCCCCACCTCTGTGACGCCCCAGTTCCCCCTTTTCTTGGAATGGAGAAGGGAGGGGCCCAAAGGAGGCCAGGGGCCCACCTGGGCTCGGGCTGTGGGGAGGGAGGGCGGGGCAGGCCCAAGAGGAGATGAGGTAGAAGAGGGGTTGAGAGACAGAGGGAGAGAAAGGGGAAGACAGACAGAGGGAGTAGGGAGGGAAGGAGGGAGGCAGAGATGGGCTCCAAGAAGACAGAGCCTGGGAGATGCAAACAGAGGCAGAGGGAGACAGAAAGGCACAGTCTCGCAGACACAGAGAAGCGACAGGCACGCAGAATTACGGAGAGGCGGCCGGCCACAGAGGAGGGGAGAGAGGTTGAGTGACAGGGCAGGATGCAGGCAGGTGGATGCACCGGCCGGAGGGACCGTGAGCAGCAGAGAGAAGAGGGGCTTGGAGAGGTGACAGAGCCTGGCAGGCGGCGGGCGGCAGCGTCGCCCAGGCCTTGCGCCTGTTGCCTGCCTGGTGCCTCGCTCCGACCCAGCCTGCCCCAGCCTGTCACAGCCGCCACCACCACCACCACCACCACCACCACCACCGTGGGTCCCGGGAGCCCCAGCTCCAGAGCCTGTGAGTCTGGGAGGGAAAAGAAGTGCCCACCGCCCCCCCCCCGACCCCCAGGCATCCAGGTGGTATCAGATAGAGCACCGGGCCTCCTGGTCCCCGCGCTGTGTCTCCCTCTGCTCTGTCCT